CAGAATAGCCCATCTGCTGCTAATTTTTTGTCATTTTGACTGGTGAAGCTCCTTGAGTTTCCCTGCTGTGACTGACCGCATTGTTTCCACACAAAGATATTTGTTGTACCAGTAAGAAAGGGAAAAGTGTAGCCTTCACTGAGCCAGTTGACTGGCACTGGGCAGCAATATGTAGGGGAGGGGTATGCGACTCTTTGCTTCTTACTACTAGGGATGACTAAGATTACTCCATCGGTTTTTCTGGTGACTCACTAAAATAACTTTAAATATTGGGAATGGTATGACGGAATATTTGAAAAAAGTATTTTGTTTTACAAATATTATCTTCTTTTGTTTTTCTATTTGTAATTTTAGCTCTTGCGCCCTTTTTTGAACAGTAACCTGACAGAAAAGAAAGTGGAGACCGAAGAGAATGACTTGCAGCAAATGGGTCAAGTCCAGGAATCGAACCCGGGACAAACTCCATCAAGAACTATCGCCTCTGAACATGGTGTGACTGCTCTACCAACTGAGCCACGCAGAAACCCTTGATTACTGTTTAGGAGAACTAAAAATGATGTACAAAAAACACACCTTCACCTGGTGAGTATGTGGAATTAAGCTTTCTTTAGTTATTTACCTTTAACTCATTATTATTTATACCATGCAGGATTATGGCTACAATTCAACTGGACCATGCATCACTGAATCTGCGATCTACAGTCCACATAGATGTTCAGCCTGTTTAACTTGATTTCATAGAATCTGACTGATTATATGTTGCTGGTTAAGTGCATTGATGTACAATATGTACTGAATTAGTGTTAAACGAATAACTGGAATAGTTTTTAAGATAAGAACAAATTTTAAAAAGTTACTTATTTGCACAGATTGCATTCATTTTGCCAGGTTCATTTCAGAGGATTACATCAGGTGAATGGAGAGCGAGCCGACATTTCTGCAACATTTCAAACCTAAAATTATGTGTAATCATTCAGATGTTGCAAATTAACCATGCACTGAAGAACACAGCTTTGAAATGACCAGTAATTCTATATTACTCTTATTTAATCTTTCATCAAAGTAAACTTCAGGAAAGCCTTGTCAGAATTTCTTCAGCTCAGCTCCGACTACGTAAAAAGCTAAACATTCACAGAAGAAAAAAAAAGTGATTCCTAGAGGAAGTATGATGGCACGTTGGACTGAAACTTAACTACTGACCTTGTTCACAAGCCTGATTAAACACCCCTGCACACACACACACACACACACACACACACACACACACACACACACACACACACACACACACACACACACACACACACGGAGAACCCTACCATCAACCACTTACCCTTTGCCACTGGTGAAAGGCAACAAGATCTCTTAACAACGACTCGTCTTTTTCAATAAATTTTGCATGAAAACATACCGCCGGAGTACCAAGTTGCCTGCTGTCATACTAGAGGAGTCTTAAATGTTTAATGACAACAACACCAAACACATGTGCGCGCACACAGAGTTGGTGTCAGGGTGCCGCTGTGATGGGGCCCCTCTTTTATCCTGACAGACACTATAAAGCTCCGGAGCCTCTTCACCACCCAACCCCACTCTTCGCTCTCCTTCTTTCACCCAGCGAAGGAACCTGGATGGAAATGAAGTTGGAGTGTTATAATAGGTGTATGAGTGCGTGTTTTGGGTGCAGGTGAAAAGGAAGAGGATCACGCTTGCATAGATCCTACCCTCGTCTTTATGAGGAAAAGTCGGATGGGAGGCGAGGGGGAAAAAAAGGGAGGCGTCTTATTTTAGACAGGATATAAGGTTTCAAAGATTCTGTGACGGAAAAGTCTTTTACATTTTCTTTTGCTAGAATGGGGACTTTTTCTGAGCGCCAAACTCAAGCTTAAACCTCAAACTATTTTAATTGTAACTAGAGAGGAGCACAGGAGGCACTTTGTGAAGGATGCCAGAGATGCTTCTGGTCCTTGTAGAATATCAGGCAAAGGTTTCTCTGCACTCTCGCCAAAAGTCAACCTTGCTCCTGGTGAATGTTGGACCACTTTAGGAGAAAGGTTTGCTTTGTCAAAAATCCAGTGTGTGTTATTCATGGGCATGAAGGTATAAATAAGGAGAGGAGGCGGCGTGGCGATGAGAGTCAGCTCTTCTACAGGCGATTTCACGCCAGATCTGATTGGTCCACTTTAGACAGGCCTTCTGTAGGTTTCACCAACTCAAATTTAAGACTTTTCAAGACCTTATGAGTGAAATTTAAGACTTGTATCACAACAGAAATGTAGAAAAGAAAATTGCAAATACATAACATCCGATGGGTTGGCAACAGAATTGAGCCAATGGCTAAGACAAACATCGTCCAGCCAACTGGTGATAAATTTGTACTTACCCATAATATACGTACAAAAGCTAGCTAGCTTGACCCTTGCTAGCTAATTATCTAGCTATCTAATCAATCAGAAATAAAATGATAAATGAACACACCAAGAAACTCCAGGCCTAAATGGTCCTGCTCAAAATTTACCGTGCAAGACAACAGGGCACCCCTTCCTCCAGGCTCCTTATCAACATCCCAACAATACCCACTGTTTCCTTTAATGTTAAGGCCCCTCGTGTCCAGTCAGTGTTACAGTTTCATCAAAATGATTCAATCCTAGCAGGTTTAATCAACTTGCCTCCGAGACAGCTGTATCAACCATTTGCAATATATTAACACGTCCAAAGGTGGAAATGCAAACACACAGGTACACAAAACAACAAACATCCATGCAGGCAGACCAGCGAAAGCAGGGTCAGAGATAAAGAAAAAGATTCCTATCGATGCTAAAGGATATTGAAGCCTTAATAAGAAAATAGATATAGTCTCCTGGCCTTACGTTGCACTGTTAGCTTTATTTGTTTTTGCGATTGTGATCTAAGAAAGGCAATAGCTTAAAATAAATGGAACACGTTTCCTTCAAAGTAAGGCTGCTATCCCCACCTCTGTTAAATAATAAACTTAAGACTTGATGTTGTTTTTTAAAGAAGATTAATCAAAGCCTTACATTTGTTGTACAACACTTTGATCAGCTGTTATGTTGTTATTTAAGTCCTTTAGAAATAAATGTGTATGCTATGGTATGGAAAATCTGCACTCAAAGTGAAATGTTTTTATATCAATCATATAGTCAGTTACATATGGTTTACTTCAAAGTTTACAAAACATTGGCCAGCTTGTGCAATTCAAGGTAAGACAATAATCAAATTGTGAATATTTGAATCCTACCTTCATATTTAATTGGGGCCTGCCATAGCAATGCATAAGAGGCATGAGGGAAAATAGCAGTATTTCAAAAGAGCTTATATTTTATAAACAATATAACTTGTTATTAATTTGGTGTTAAGAGATGAGCATTTTTTTCTGGTAACGAACTGCCACGAAGTATAAAGCAGATTTTTACTTTCGTGTTGAATGTGTGTTTTATAATATATTTACTTGTAATATATTCATCAGCAATGACAAAAAATTCACCAACTGCGCAATTCTTTAGTTTAAGATCAGTAGTATTTCAAAAGAGCAGAAGAAATCTTATGATTTTTGAACAATAACAATAATTGTTGTTAATCTGTTGCTAAGAGACGAGCACGTTTTCTCATAACCAAGTGCCACAAAGTAAACATTTGATTTTTACTTTTGCAAAACTTCCCAACTTTCTTATGTCTAAGCAGATAAGCAATATTTAAAAAGAGCTTATGTTTTATAAACAATAACATTAATTGTTATTAATTTGGTGTTAAGAAAGGAGAGTTTTTTCTGGTAACGAACTGCCACGAAGTATAAAGCAGATTTTTACTTTTGTGTTGAATGTTTATTTTATAATATATTTACCACCAATGACAAAAAAAAAAAAAAAAAAAAAGGCGCAAAAAAGATTCACCAATCAGGCCTCCATGGTAGAGTGACAGGATGTATATGGCAACCAGCTTGAATTTAGAGACAGTCAGACTGGGAAAAACTAAATCAAAATGAGTGTCAGTACTTATGAAATACTGGATTAATAATCTAAAAAGCCGTGTTTGCCAGATCATTACGTGCTAGTGTGTAGATCTTTAAGGAAAATATACAGAAATTTATATTAGAATAATTTTGTAAGGCAGGTCCAATTAAGAAAAAGTGAAGGGGTGTGATACGTTCAGGTATAGATCTACCAACAATTGTGTACTCCAGTCTCCTCCCTGTCACGTTTGGCAGTATTGTCTTGGGGCAGAATCGGGAATGTGTTTCTGGTAGAAGCAGAGAAAGGCCTCTAAAGGTGTTACAGCGGTAGTGCAGCATAGATGTATCTACTACACTAAATCCGATCTTGGTCTGCATTACAGTCATAAGAGGCCACAAAGTTGCCAGTGAAGATGTCAACCTTTCTTACTCCAGTAAGACGTCCTTTGTTTCCCGACACTAGCTACAAAGACACAGAAGGCGCATATGATCTTGTTTTGTTTCTAGACTTATTGCACCTGACCCCGGAGGGAGGAAAAACAATCACCATGTTGTTCTGGTGACCGAAGCGCTCTTACAAGCTAAACCTGCACAGAGTACCTTTCTACCACTTATTTGTCTGACTGTAACGTTTTTGGGGTTTTTTCCTGACAGCAGGGAATCGCATGACATTACAAGGCCTATGGCTAATAGCAGGATGGGAGAAGGAGAAAAATATGAGCTGATGGATTGATGAATGGAGGGACTGAGTGCTGGATGGAGCAGCAGACTCTCTGGACTCAAAGTTTGTATCTGTATATCACCAATCAACATATTCTGTTCCCACGTGGGGATGGTAGTTTCAAATGAGCTGTGCAGCAGGAGCAGCCGTGTCAACACGCAAATTATTCTTCCGCTCACCTTTTCTTGTCTTTACTCTTGTCCTTGTCTCGGTCTCTTCCTCGGTCTCTCTCCCTCTCTTTCTCCCTGTCCCGGTCGCGGCCCTTGCGCCGACTCCTGTCCCGCTCCCGGCTGTTGCTGCGGCTCCTTTTGCGGCTGTGGCTTGTTCGGTGGCCGCGGCTGCTGCTCCTGCTGCGGGACCGTCGGTGGCGAGAATGAGACCTGGAAGAAGATAAAACCGCTGTTAGCATACAGAGGCCGCATCGGATGAAAAGATTTTCCAAGTCTTGCCACACTGGATTCAGGTCTGGACTTTGACTAGGACATTCTAAAATGTTTCTGGGTAGAGTACTCGGTATCTGGAGTCTATGTTTGCTTTGAACCCAAAGCAGAAAGACATGAACACTTTTAAATTATTTTTTTCTTATATAATCTATTTTGTTCTTATAACACTCACACTTCTTAATTTCATACCAACCTAATATAAATACTTAAGCAAGACAACCCATGTTTCTTTAACCCTTTTCATTACATGTGACTCCCTGCTGTATTTTTAAGTTTCTACTTGAGTTATTTTCTGTATTTATTTACAAAAAGGCCATAAATCATTCTGTCCAAACGTAGTTAGGGCAGTTTCATCAACTAGATGTTTGTGGCAGTAGTGACAGGGAACAAAACTGACAAACAAGATGCGTGAACCTGGAATTTGTAGATGCAGAACAGAACAGGTAATGTTTCGTCGGATGATTTTTGTACTTCACAGAGAAAACTCTCTGAGCAAAACATATTTCAGTGTAATGAAGACTTGCAGCTGGGTTTTTGGAACTACAGCAGACCTTAAATCAAAACCAAATTGATGAAATCTACTCAAACACCCATCACAAAATTAGATCAGCACTGTATAGATTGCATTATACTATCACAGCACAGTAATGTTTGCATCCTTTAAACCACAAAACGATACTTAATCTGATCAAATTTCCCAAGAGTGGAAGGATTCATCTTTCATTGGATGGGTGTAATAATAGTTCTATACAAACCAACACACCATAAAACACACGCGCACACACACGTACACGCAAACACACACACTGCAGAAATGGAGCCAATTAGAGACGGGCTTAGAGGAAGACCTGTCCTCAGTATTGATCCTGACGCTGGACCTCTGGTCTCCGAGAGATTTACAGTGGAAGATTTACTTTGTTAGCTGTAGCACACAAAAATTTATACACTGATTTAAACAGCAGAGAAAAAAAATCTAAAGTAACTTATGTGCAATTGCAGCTAAATGATCTAATAAACTCTATTTATGGTCACAGTACATAACACAGACATGCTGTATAAATATGAGTGTTTATGTGATTGCAGTTTGTGTCTCGAGCACATTGTGTGCTTGTGCGTGTGTATGCGTGTGTGTGCTGTGTATCAAACGGGTTCTGGGTTGTGGAGTTGGGGGAGAGCCATGATTGGTTGCCTCGGTGGAAATCGGCAGCTGAGATGCCGTTATTTTCCATCATCTATCATTTTATTGATTTGTCTATAAAAACAGTCAAACCTGCTGTCCGCGAGCTTTATTGCTTTCCCCCCTTTATTAGTTTGCAGTTTGGGACATCCAGAGCTGTCTCTCTCCCAACAGAGAACTAATCATTTTCTTCAGACACCTGTCACCACCCTAACAGACAACACTCTGACAACTGTTGCAATCAATTAGGCCCCGGCGATCCTGATCACCCGAGGGCCACTGAGGCGTGTCAAAGTCACTCCGTGAGGGAATCTTGGGGAAAAGGAAAAAAGAGGATAAAATAAATAAATAAATAAAAAAAACTAAGGCACTTTTTCCAAAGTCACTGATGCCCAAGCAAAGAACTTTCTTTTTAGAAGTTAAAGTCTCAAAACGATGATTTTTTTTTTTTTATTATATTTTGACTTGTTTTGTGCAGGAATAAACCACTGGATCAAGACGTTAATCCTTAACACACAGTGAGAAATACATTATATCGCAATAACTTATCCTACGGTTAAAAAGTGAGAAAAAGTGACAAGGGTTAGAAAGCAAAAGAGAGGAGAAAAGCAACAGCTATGAATCTGTCATTCGTTATCCACTTTATGGACTCTTGATGATAATTTTTGGTTGGTGGATCTGCCCTCCATTCGGACTGACTACGAACTGGGCCAGCTTGGCCCGTTACAGTTTGCTTACCAGTTATATGTTCAAGCATCTTGAGGTAAAAAAAAAAAACCCATGCACAGCTTTTATTTATGGATTCTACTTCAGCTCTTAATACGATTCGACTCCACATCTTGCTGAACAAACTCCTGCACCATCTTAATCTTGAGGTTGCTTTAGTGAAATAGATTTTAGACTTTTTACATGCACAGGCCGACAATCGGAGCTTGCAGTTGACACTGTTATAGTCAGTCTGCTGCAGTAGGAAGGGATTCATCATGGACCTGCTTTTTGCCTACTTTGTGAAGTGGTGTGATGAACATTGCCTGAAGCTGAATGCCAGAAAAACAAAGGACATGGAGATAGAGTTCAGGAAAACGACCCACCCTGCTGTACCAACAATAATCAATGAATCTCTAGTGGAAACTGTGGACAGTTACAGATGCCCTGAAACAATCGTGGACAATTCAACTTCGACCACAACACTGCAGCAACTTGAAAGGAGGGCCTAAAATGACTATTTTCAGTGAAATCTGAATCGTTTTAGCTTTGATAAAACACTCCCGTTTTTATGTTGCAGATCTTTTATCGAGTCTGTTTCAACATTTGGTATTACTGCTTGGCATGGCAATGTGTCATTGAAAAATAAGAACAGTCTGTTCTGTCTTATTAAAACGGCCAGCAAAATAATTGGCATTCGGCGGCGCCCCATGTATGATATCTGGAACAGACAGATTGTGGAAAAAGGTCAAAACAACCGTAGCCAGCAGAGACCATTCCTTTTAGAGAAATTTGTTCTCTTTCCCTCAGGTCAAAGGTACAGGTTGCCGTCTATAAGGTCCAATCTTCCAGCGCCAAGGTTGCCCTTTGTCAGCGATTTTGCTCGTAACCTTAATGGATGGAAGTCCTAGGTGCAGCCAAAGTGTTGAGGGGATCCGATTAGGAGTTTACGTGGCCTTATGATCGGGTCGCTCCTTTGTGCAGATGATGTGGTTCTGTAGGCTTCATCAGATTGTGATCTCCAGATTTCTCTGGAGCTCACAAGCTAACAGCATGCAGATTAATACCTCCGAATTCGAGACCATGGTTTTGAGCCGGAAAAATGCAGAAAGACCTTAGACCAGGTTTCAAAGATTATTGTTAAAAACAACTCTGTATAGTGTGTTTTTCTTTCCCACTGGAAGCAATCTTGACTTTGTGCTTCTTTGCTTATCTGCGTTTCATTCCTGGAGCAAATCACAGATGAAGCTATTGCTGCCATTACCCATGTGTAGCCTTATTCTTAGAAAATGTGCGTCTAGCTTACTCTGTTTTGTTGATAGACAAAGCAATTGTCAGAGATTGCTGACATAAACTCTGTGAATTCTTTTTTCAAGAGAAAGTACACTCGTCCCTGCGCTCTTGCGTTTATTTGTGCTTCTTTTCTTAGACTTGAATATCAGTGTTTTTCAATTCACCTCACTGTTCTGTCACTTTACAGCTGCTTGGGGCAGAAAGTATACCACTTCCCTTAACAAGCCAAGTTTTGTCTGAGGATTCTTTCTCTAAAAGAGAGTGGTTCATTAAATATGCTTGCTAAGGAGGAAAGTTTGCTGCATCGTCAACAGATTTATGAAATCAGCTGGTTTCCCTAAGACTGCTTCTTCACTGTGCTATTAATTGATTGGACCAAACTGGACTCCAGATAACCAAATATAAATGGGATCTGAATAATTTGCCTGGAAATGACATTTATTGTAAATGTCTGTTTTACAAATAAACCGAACTGTATCGAATCGGTGGTTTAGTATTCTGCCCAGGCACACTTGGAAACGTTAACTGGAAAGTTTAAGGCTCGAATCAGCTAAATGCTGATCTTCTCAGGATAATAAACATAACGACACATGTGATTCAGAGGTACATGTGAGAGTGGTCGCAAGAGATGTGATTTATAGTGTTTAATGCACTGCACACAACTTGACAAGGCCAAAGTCAGAAAATGAGTTCTAATGGAAAAAACATGAAGAGAACCATAAATGAGTTAACATTGTTTGTGTATGTTTATAATCAGCAGTACATGAGGAAAAATGCAACAAAGCCACAGAGTTCCAAGTCTGAATCCCGTATTTACAGCCAAGCAAATTTTGGCCAGGAGCAGAGGAAGCAATAACCCCAGTTCAGCTTCTCCGCTCTTGTTCTCCCTTCCCTTTCTCCGTCTGATGGCAACACAAACATCCCACTTCTGGGGTGTGCAGCAAATTAAATTTACTGTAGTTAATAGAGTGAGCCTGTGCTGCTAAATGTCAATTTCCTGACCAAGTCCTTCCCCTTGGAGAATGATTAGCTAATTTGAGGCTGGGAATAAATGGGCTAATGCAGGACACACACAGATAAACAGCCCCAGTTGGACCCCATTCCAAGCTCTTCCCCTACTTTACATTTCATTGGCTTTATTATCTCCAGGGAAAATGGGTCCCCCTATGACCTAAACATATTTTCATTTCTAATAAAAGGCCCTTGCTGCTTGCCCCCACATGCAACCCACCCACATACACACGGCCCCTCGCAGCCTTCTACCTCCATTCGTTCCTCGTTTCATCGTCCAATCCATTATATCGGAGCTCTGCAATTGGCTGGGACCATTTTCCTGGTGAATTATCAATAGAGTAATTATGCTCCATGTTGGGAGCTGGGCTGAAGCTTATCGCCGCTGACCCCCCACGGCGTGCAGGGATATGATCCCTCACCACGGCCTATTGGGGTAATTATGTGTCCGGGTGTGAAGCTGGATGGTGTGCTGCCTTTATCTGTATTCTATTTCTGTTTTCATTGAAAATTGGACATTAACGGCAGCCATGCGATACCCACTAGTGTCAGATACAGGTGAGCGTCTCCACTGGAATCTGACCCCAGCCAAATCATTATTCATAGTACATCATTTGGCAGAAACAGACGGATCGTCCGAGAACCGTTCCTCTAACCTTATCTTCCCCCCATTCAATGCGGTGATGGACAATCACTGTTTTATTTTTACCCCAAACTGCCAACCCGGGAGGGGAAGACAATGGTAGGCTTA